ATGATCTTCAACACGTTTGTGTTCTTGCAGCTCTTCAACGAGATCAACGCCCGCCGCATCCACGACGAGCTGAACGTATTTGAAGGGATCTTTGCCAACCAACTGTACTTGGGCATTTCGGTCGTGCAATTGGTGCTGCAGGTGCTCATCGTCCAGTTCGGGTCGCTCGCATTTAACTGTGTCGCGTTGACCGGGACTCAGTGGATCATTTGTCTGGCGATCGGCGCGATGTCGTTGCCGATGGGGCTCTTTCTCCGCTGCATTCGTTTGCCTGCCTTTTTTACAATCTGCCAAGAAGCGGAACCTGTCGTCCTTGTTCCCACGGTCCGCACCAAAGAATTGTGGATCCGCGGCTTCAAGCGTCTGCGCACCCAAATCCGCGTCGTTCGTGCGTTCAAGCGGTCGCTGTCGCAGCGCAAGCTCACACATTACGAGTAGGAAACGTCTCTCGGGTATTTACAAGGAATAGACTTGATTTTCATCGGTCCCGCTGCATTCGTGTTGGTGGACCATGGCGTGGCTATCCCTTACGCCACCGAGCACCTCGCAACACCCTGTGAGAGTTATCGCTGCTTGTGTGATGGATCGCAGAGGTACAGCAACGGATGGGATGCACGTGCACATCGTGCATGACGAGTTGAGCGCACGTCATGTTGGCCTTCGCACGCGGGTGTCGCTCGCGCTCGTCGCCCTACTACACTATTCGTCGAACGACGTCCTTGGTAACGCATCCTAGTGCCGTGGGGAAAGCATGTCGCGGCCACAACCCCTTCCACGTCGTGGATGGGGCGGCTGAACTGGAAGAAGCGTCATTGAATCCGCAAACCCACGGACGCGCGCGGCAGCGGCACGGCGGCGGCTCACGTGGTTGAAGGTGCTGGGAAATCTTTTCACTCGATATGAAGGTCACGGATTGGATGAAATCATTCCGTATACCCATTTGGATTGGCTAAAATTGAGATTTCGTGGGTTGCAGTCACCAATAGGTGGCCGGAACAGACTCTCCAATACAAAAATTCATATATTTCTCGTGGCCACTCTCTCGACGACAAGCCTGGAATCTGAGGCGCGCCGTCTTTGCCCCACCTCACTTCCTTTCTTCGTTGCTGGCGCCGATACGCCATGGCACCGACGACCCAGGAGCTGAGCAAGCTCGTTGAGACGAAGAAAGAGCATGCTGCGGCAGCGCTGGAGAAGGTTGGGGGCGTTGAGGGCGTTGCCCGGAGCTTGAACGTCACGTTGGAGCATGGCCTCGACTCGAAAAATGCCGCCGACCTCGCCGCCCGCGAAGCGCAGTACGGCAAAAACTACATCGAGGCGGAGAAACCGCTCACATTGTTTCAATTGATGTGGCAAGCGTTCAATGATTTAACCATTATCGTGTTGACGTGTGCCGGGACGATTTCCCTCGTCCTCGGGTTCATCCCCATGCCCAAGTCGTCGTCTGCGGCGGTAGAAGCTGCTCCTGATGACTCGGAATCGACGTGGATCGAAGGCGCGTCCATCTTGTTTGCCGTGCTCATCGTGACGTTCGTGACCGCCATCAACGACTACCAGAAAGAACAACAATTCCGCGCATTGAACGCCGTCAAGGAGGACGAGAAGATCAAGGTCATTCGCAACGGCGTGCCGGCTGAGGTGAGCAAGTTCAGCTTGGTCGTGGGGGACATTGTCCGCGTGGACTTGGGCGACATCATCCCGGCGGACGGGCTCGTGTTTGACGAGAGTGACCTAAAGCTGGACGAAAGCGCCATGACGGGCGAGTCGTTTTTGATCAAGAAGGACCGCAAGGAAAATCCATTCTTGCTGTCCGGTACCAAGGTGATGGAAGGCGTCGGGAAGATGCTCGTGGTCGCAGTCGGCGAGAACTCGCAGTCGGGACAGATCACTCAGTTGATCGCGGGCAAGGGACCATCTACGAAACCTACTTCTCCCAAAGCCGCGTCCGAGTCGACGCCGTTGCTTGCCAAAACGACTTCTGCTGCTGAGGAAGTGCCAGACGACGAGCACGACGAAGTTGTGTCCCCGCTGCAAGGCAAGCTCGACAGTTTGACCATGATGATCGGATCCATGGGAGTGTACACGGCGTTGTTTGTGTTCTTGGCCATGGTGGTCCGCTTCTCGGTGGTCAAATTCTGGATTCACGGCGAGCCCTGGAGCAACGAGTTCCTCAAGGATTACTTGAACCACTTCATCCTCGGCGTGACGGTGCTGGTGGTGGCGATTCCAGAAGGCTTGCCCCTGGCCGTCACCATCGCCTTGGCATTTTCCGTCAAGAAAATGCTCAAGGACAACAACCTGGTGCGCCACCTGGACGCGTGCGAGACGATGGGCAGCGCCACGACCATTTGCTCGGACAAAACAGGCACCCTCACCACGAACCGCATGACCGTCATGGAGTGCTACCTCGGCCAGCATGAGTTCACGTCGGTTGGTCCTCTCCGTGTACAAGCGAGCGCCGACACGAAAGACATTTTGTGCAAATGCATCTGTCTCAACTCGACGGCCGAGATCCTCCCGCCCAAGCACGTCGGCAGCCAGCCCGAGCACACGGGCAACAAAACCGAGTGCGCGTTGCTCCAGCTCGCCGCCGACTTGGGCGTGCAATACGCCGACGTCCGCAAGGAGACGGAACTGTTGCGCATGATCACGTTCAGCAGCGCCAAGAAGCGCATGTCGGTGGTCGTGCCGCTGTCCGACTCCAAGGTCCGCATCTTCACCAAGGGGGCGAGTGAAATCGTGTTGGGTTTGTGCACGTCGCAGCTCCACTTGGACGGCACCACGTCCGAATTCACGACTGCCGACAAAGCCAACGTCAACTCGACCGTGATTGAAAAGTTTGCCGAGCAAGCGTACCGCACCTTGTCCTTGGCGTACCGCGATGTGGACGTCACCGCCGACGAGATCAAGGACCCGTCGCAATGGTCAGACGACGACATTGAGAAAGACTTGACGTGCATCTGCATCGTCGGGATTGAAGACCCCGTGCGCGAAGAAGTGCCCGAGTCGATTCGCCAGTGCAACCGCGCTGGCATTGTCGTGCGCATGGTGACGGGCGACAACATCGCGACGGCGAGGTCCATTGCGCTCAAGTGCGGCATCTTGACCCCCGGGGACAAGTCGATCGTCATGGAAGGCGCGACGTTCCGGGCTCGCGTGCACGATGCCAACGGCAACTTTTTACAAGACGAGTTCGATAAGATCTGGCCAAACTTGCGCGTGCTGGCTCGGTCCAGTCCCAAGGACAAGCATACGTTGGTGACAGGTTTGATTCAATCGGACGTCAAGGCGTATGGCCCGCAGGTGGTGGCCGTGACGGGGGATGGCACGAACGACGCGCCGGCGCTCAAGAAGGCGGACGTCGGGTTCGCGATGGGCATTTGCGGCACGGCGGTCGCCAAGGACGCGTCGGACATCATCCTCATGGACGACAACTTTCGGTCCATCGTGAGCGCGGTCAAGTGGGGCCGCAACGTGTACGACTCGATCGCCAAGTTCCTCCAGTTCCAGCTCACGGTCAACTTGGTGGCCATCACAATCGCCATTGTTGGCGCCGTCTTCTTGGAGGAATCTCCATTGACCGCGATCCAGTTGCTGTGGGTCAACTTGATCATGGACACGTTTGCGTCGCTGGCGCTGGCCACCGACAGCCCGACGCAAGCCATGCTCGAGCGCAAGCCATACCCGCGCACGATGCCGCTCATTTCGGGCCGCATGACCAAACATATTCTGGGTCAGGGCATGTACCAGTTGGCCGTGCTTGTCACGCTCGCGTTTGCCGGCGACAAGATTCTCGGCATCCCATCCGGTCGTAAGTACGAACGCGAGTCGAGTGAGCCATCGGTGCACTACACGATCATCTTCAACACGTTTGTGTTCTTGCAAGTGTTCAACGAGATCAACGCCCGCCGCATCCACGACGAACTGAATGTGTTTCAAGGGATCTTTGCCAACAAGTTGTACGTGGCGATCTCGGTATTTCAAGTCGTCATGCAAGTAGTGATCGTCCAGTTCGGGTCGGTTGTGTTTGGATGCCACGCGTTGGACTCGACCCAATGGGCCATCTGCGTCGGGCTTGGTGCGATCTCGCTGCCCCTCAGCGTCGTCCTTCGGCTGATCCCTGTGCCCGTCGCCCTCGGATTCGAACCGGAGAACCAACCCCACGCCGCCCACGACGCATTCGTCCGCGGCGTGACCCGTGTGCAGACGCAAATTCGCGTCGTCAACGCTTTCAAGCGCCCGTTGGTTCAGCGCCGCAACTCGGTCCTCGCGACCGCTTAACGTGTCCTCCGTCGACCTCTGCCATTCGCGAGATAACATTGTTAGAATACATTATGTGCATCATCATCCACCATGGGACTATGGTTCATATCCCGGCGTCGACGAGACTGGTGCAACGCGCGGACATGCCATGCGCCTGTGGTCTCTCCGCCCCCCATGCGCAGCCGATGTCAGCCGCACGATGTGATCCGCCGGGCGATGCTGTACATCTCGGACGTGACGTTGCGCAAGACCAACTTTGTCGATGGCAAAAATAGACGAAACCACTCCGAGGATGCTGGCCGGTCTATATTAAGGGTCAGTACTGGTCGAGCTTTCGACGCCGCGGCGGAGACCCGTGCGACGCCTGCGCTTGGACCTGCCAGCCACTTGCGACATCACATGGCCGACTTTGGCGACTTGGACGACTTTAACGAGCACGAAGTGCAAGGGCGCCCGATCAAAGCGTACAAGAACGGATGCTTTGACAATCCAAAATGTGCGAGTCATGCCGGGCTGGTCGGGACACTGACCAACCTGTCTAGCGCTGTTTGTTCAACTGCACTGGTCCTGGGACGACTTTTTGTGCTCTTGCTCCCAGCGCCTCGAGATGGTCCCGATGGCATCGCGTGTGTTTAATTCGGACGGTACTCGACTCGTTCGGACGTAATAACTCCACGGGTTGCTTGGGTTGTGGCGTAGGCGTTGAAATCGACGATCTCATGTGCATTGAAGAAGGCGACATGCTGTTCTTCTCGGCGGGCGCGCCATTCAAGATTCCCGGCAACGACGACCATACCAACACGGAAGAGTTGGGCGCTGGCGGCGTTGTCGGGGGCTACCGAGTCACGTCGCTGTTGGGTCGCGGTGGATTTGGCGAAGTACGTCGGTCGCCGTCCCGTTGTCTTGCCGTAATCGGTCGAGGCAGGTTCGGTTGGGCATCCATCAACTCACGAGCGAAAAAGTGGCGCTCAAGTTCATTTTGAAAAACGAGATGGGGTCCCTTGGTGACGTCGAGCGCACGACGACCGAGATTCAGTGCCTCACGGTGTCGATAGCGTTCGACCGCCGCCGCCTCGTGACGTGTTCGTGCGTAGGCGCTCAACCACCCGAGCATCATCAAGTTGATCCGCGTATTTAATGAACCGAACCACGTCGTGCTCGTGTTTGAACTCTTGGAAGGGTACGTTTGCCGATCGTCGGCGGTGATGGCCTCACGGATCGACAGCGGCGACTTGTTTCACCACTTGGCCCAGTTGCCCCCGGGAGGGCTGTCGGAGGAAGAAGGAGCGCTTGTGTTTTCCCAGATCCTTGCCGGCGTCGGTTATGCGCACAACCAGCACATTTGCCATCGCGACCTCAAGCTCGAAAACATTTTGCTGCAAAAGTACGCCGCCGCCGTCGCCCTTGTGTGTTGTTGTCGTGATGTTGGTGTGTGCGTCCATGCAGCAAATGCGACCTCAACAGCGTCAAGATTGCCGACTTTGGGCTGAGCGACTTTTACCGACCTGGTGCGTTGGACGGCCGTGCATGGAGCCCGCGATCATGGCGACGACGTAGGTGCGATGGCCAAGACTACATGCGGATCGATCTCGTACTTGCCGCCAGAGGTGTTTCGAGGCACGTCGAACGCAGGTAGACGACTGGACGTGGTGTTGTTGTGTTGCTGAGTATCGTCAGGTCCGCCGCTGGATGTGTGGAGTCTCGGCGTGATTCTGTTTGCGATTGTGTGCGGGCGGCTTCCGTTTGAAGGGTCGGATTTGAAAGGGTCGAACCGGCCGCGGGAAAACGTGATTCGAAATCGCATCATGCGCGCGCAGTACAAGCTGGACGAGCACTTGAGCGCCGACGTGACGGGTGCGTCCTCTAACACCACCGTCGTCGTCGGTCACGGCACATGCGTGTTTGTAGATTTGATCCAAAAGATGCTGAAACTCGACCCGATCGAGCGCGCGACGATACCCGACATCTTTAGCCATCCATGGATCCGTGGCAAGGCCGGATCGGCCGGGCTCGATTCATTGACGATCCTGGCATCGCCCATCAAGGACGGCGACGACGACGCGGACGGGTGTGAGTCGTTTACGCTCAAGAAGGACTTGCTACCCACGACTACTACGGACACAACGTCGATGCCACGGTCCGAGGACGTCAAGGGGCGAGGCGGCGCTGTACCGCTTGTTCCGCCGCTGGCCACCCTCGTCCCGCAGTCGCCCCCCTCGACCGTCGTCTCCCATTCACACAGCACTTCCAAGCGCAATGTACGAGGCCACGACGTCCAGAAACACAAGAGCCCGAGGGCCACCACAGGCGGCACGACAATTCCGCCCATCAACACGTCCAAAGGATCGGACAAACACGTGGATAAGCACGGAACGAGTGGCGGGCAATCGCCTGCCAATGCCAAGCGGGGCTCCGTCGGCAACTCCAAAGAACCAACGGCGCAGGTGCTGACCCCGAAAGACGGCAAGAGCAGAACGCGGGTGCCGCCCGTGCACCCCATGACGCCGGACGACCGGAATGCCTCGACGAAAGCCAAACGACGGCCAAGTCTCAACGACCCCAAGCTCATGGAAGCCCTTGATCCGACCCTCCACTGACCCCACACGCCACGACGCTCTCGTAGACACTTGTGGATTCACCGTCCCGCTCCATTCGTTCTGCTTTGCCTTGACGCCGCCAGCATGCCACGCGTTGTGGCCATCTCGACCGTTCATGAAGGAATGGGTTACAATAACAAGGGGATTACAAAAACCCTGGACTGACCACACCGTCGCGCCGGGACGGATGCATTGGGGCTTGGCTGGGGTATTGTACGCTGTACGCCATGGGTGGTGGAGCCATCATGTGGATGGGCTGGGGGTGCGGAAGCATGGGCTGAGGCATCATCGTGTGCTGGGGGTGTCCCATCACGTGGGGCTGGTGTATCGGCGGGTACGATGGAGGCGCCATCATGTGAGGCAATGGCTGGGGAGGGTGGGCGTTGCCAGAGCTGGCTTTGAGTTGGTCCAGCGAACGGGTGTCCGCTGGCGCCATGTTCGCCTTGGCAGCCGCCGACACTTCCGACGACAGGCGCAAGTCCACCAAATTGCTTCCTGGCACAACAAAGCCAGCGGGAGGTTGCTGTTGGGGCTGTCGTTGAGGTTGTTGCTGAAGTTGCTGAGGCTGCTGTTGGAATGGTTGAGATTGCTGGTGAAATTGCTGAGATTGTTGGTGAAATGGATGAGGTTGCTGATGAAGTTGCTGAGGTTGCTGGAGAAATTGCTGAGGGTGTGGGGCACCAAAATGGTCTTGCTGTTGTTGGGGAGGAGGTTGAGGGGCATCCAGAGGGTCGAAAGAGAGCCCGGCCAATTCTGTCGAAACAATCTGTCAGAACCATCGTCTAGAGCGGAATACGTACGATCGATGGTTGACAATGGCTTGGGCGCTTCAAAGACAGCAGCAGTCGTGGGCGGCGTGGGTGCGATCGTGAGGGACTCGACGCCGAGAAGATCCACAACTTCCGAGGCAGGGGCGGCCTTGTCCCCCTTCTTCCCGGCCTTTTTCTTACTTGCTTTCTTGGGGTCGGCTCCGGAAGGCGCAGCGACTGCGGCCAATTTGGATGCGTCCAGCGCATATGAATACGCTTTCTTGGACACATTCGCCACAGTTTTCTTGGTCTTCTTCTTGTCCTCCGGCGCCGATTCCGTGGACGCATCGCTTTCCGATAGCACAGCGACCTGCTTCTTGGTGGATGAAGTCTTCTTCGTTGCTTTCTTCTTGGATTTGGTGTCCATTTCGCTGTCGTCGTCCTCGGAGGAAGCAATGACCTCGGGTTTCTTGACGGCTTTAGAGCGCACTTTAGTCGACTTTTTCTTGACATCGCTGTCTTCCGATGACTCTTCGCTGTCATCATCGTCATCATCGTCGCTGTCGGACGAAGTGGCGGGGCGGCGCGAAGACTTGGACTTGTGTTTCTTGTTGTTGCTCAACGACTTGGACGTTTTGCCAGATTTCTTGTGTGTGGGCAAAGGGCCTGACGAAGCGCTTGCGCTGTACGACGACGGGTTGTCCGAGTACGTCGATGTGGGGCGATACGAGTCAGAGTACTGACCGGGACGCTCCGTGGCAAAATCGTTCTGGTACCCGCCCGCGTTGTACGAGCTGTTCGAGTAGCTCGACGAGTTGCCGCCAGGGCGTGCGTTGTTTCGGATCTCAGCCATCCAATTTGCGCGTCCGTCATTCATCGTTCGCTGGTTATCAGGGATCGTGTTGTGGGACCGAGTCGCAAGTTGCAACACCTTTTCGCCCAACCACTGGCCGTTGCTGACAATGCGGCTCTTCCAGTCGTCATCGTTCGAAGAGCCACCGCGACTGGAACCACCTCCAACACCGTAGCTATTGAAGCCGCCACCTTGATGGTGGCCGCCGCCTTCCATGCTCTGCTGCATCCACATGACAGTCGGACGATTTTTGCAAGTGGAGGTGGCGCAAGGCCCATGGGAAAATCGAACATCGACCGAATTAAAATACACATACACTACTTGAGTTTTCTATGTGATAATAAAATAGTTCTAATCATCTGTCGAAGACGTTGACCCCTCGAATAAAATTAAATGACTGTCTTGGAATATCACCTGTATTTTGTATAGACTAATTTCAGATTCACCAATAAAATTGTCCTTCCACATTTCCGCCCTATCCCATCTGTGTGCTGTTCTGTCATGGCTGGGGGAGGGCAGACGGCATCGAGCAACTCAACTCGCTCCCGTTGCCGAGCATGCATCCACGTCGTTCTAGTTGTATCACAGACATGTCTCATGTCCGTGGCGTGGTTCCGTTCGTTGGCCATCGCAGTGATGTTGGTCGAGCGTCGATCGACAGTTTACCAAACTGAAACGTATAAAAACAAGCACATCGAACACTACCGTTCATCCGTCGCGTACTCCACAGCGACAGCCTGCCCTCATGGCTGTGCAGCGAGCATTCCATCGGACATGCGTCACTTTCTCACCAACTCACGCCGCCGTTCAGGTCCAAACACCACCACTTCAACAAGGAGGGCTATCCGGATATATCACGTGTATTATCCGGAGATTTCCACCATGCAGTCGGAGATGGACGAGCGCGTGATCTTCTTGGACGTGGATGGAGTCCTGAATACTCTCCACGACCACGCCCAGCTGAACGCAGTGCTGTTGTCTCGGTTGAGCCGCCTCGTCCATCTCACACACGCGAAGCTCGTCATCTCGTCGACGTGGCGCCTCCATTTCGACCACTTGGTCACCCTCGTTCATGCGTTGGCCACCGTGAACGTACCTTGCCATCGCATTGTTGGTGTCACCGGGACGGAAATTGCACCATCTCTTTGCGCACAACGAAGCGCTGGGTATTGTCGAGCCGAGGAGATTTTGGCGTTTGTTAACGAATGCTACAATCCGAGCCGCGTGCAGTGGGTGGCCGTCGACGACTTGACCTTGCTGGACCATCCCCACATGCCACCGCCTCGTGTTGTGCAGACGTCTCCACACCAAGGTGATTGATTACCGTCGTCTTTATAGTTTGTTGTTCACCCATGTCAAAAGGTTTGACTCTTGACGCCATGCGGGGTGTGCTGGCAGCGTTCCCGACCGACCCACCACTCGATGAACCAACGTGGACAGTCACGTTGCGGCCGACGTCATGCGCGGCAACTCGCCAAGACGGCTCATATGGGCCGTTTCAGATGTCTTTCGAGGACGGCATCGACTGGAGGCGTCTCCATGAATGGATTCACTTCACCACGCGTGGCGCACCATTTCGAGTAGCGTCTGACGACAACTTCTCGCTGGAGCATGCCAAAGCGGCGGCATATCGGCACAGGAATGTCCACGCGATGTTGTTGTTGCATGACGTCACGTCGTCAGGTACGATGCGCCGGCGAAAACGTGATTGAGGAGGCACGTCGTAGAAAATCAAGTCACTCAGGCACATCTTCCTGCACTCCAATCATTCGATCGATTCGTTGTCGTGCAAGGCCGCGTCGGAACTGACAGTGCAGTGACGTTCACTGTCATTCATGGTCACACAAAGGTAGTCGAGAGGCACCAAACGTGGCCCGCGCTCGACGTGACAATGGCCGTACTGCGTCATGTCGACGACTGGCTCTGCAAAGCTACGGCAGGGCTTTCGTGGGTCTTGGTGGGCAGACACGTGATCGAGTGGGTGGCGGCCTGCGACAGGATGAACCTGCCATGCCCAGCGTACTTCCATACGTGGCATGACGTCGGGCATTCCAACTTGAGTTTGTTCATGGAATCCTTGGCAAGAGGGGTTCATGTCACTCCAACCCACAGCGTTGCCAGTGACGTGGATGTGACGCTGGTGAGCCAGCAATGGATAGCCCTGTGCCCTTCCCCACCACCCACTTCGTCGATGCGCTTGTTGTCTCCACGTATCGCACAGAATCTCGTAGAGTTGTTGCCCGGACTGAAAGCACCATGTGCCAAAGGTCACCACGAGTTGATCAAAGTGGCGGCAATCCAGGACTGGGCGTTGCGCCATGTGCTCGCCGGTTACCTCGCTCGAGGGGATATAGCGAACGGAATGACGTTAGATATGGTGCTCGCCGCGCTTGGCGACGGAGGGCCGTACAGCGACGGAGACGTGCTTCAGTGCATCAGCTCCGACGTCGACGACATGCTGTGGTGATTAACTGAAGTCAAAGATTCCCACGATCGTGATTGGTTCGTTTCGACTAATGGGTCGATCGGTACTGTACGCGTACGTTCAACTTGACGGGTGAACAATGACAACAAGTTGCATAGTACGTACGGTACATACAATTGTACGTCATTGCCAAGGTGCCACAACTTCAACACTTCTGTCCATGGTCACAACAGCATTCGCTCCGACGCACCATGTACGAGTCGCGCCACTACCGACCGCCGTACACGGAGCCCAAGCAGCCGAACCGATTGATGTATCCGTTCTTTGGGCTCCTCGCGTTTTGCCTCTTCGTCACGACGAGCCTCTCCATGCGCACGACCATCCCGCATCGGAACGAATCCCCGTCGCTTCGGCTCGACGAACCGCGGGCGCCCAAGTTGTCGTCCGACCATGTACCCTACCTCCCTCGATTTGGAAATGTCGAGGAGAAGCAGGTACTGCTAGCATGGTGGTGATCCAATTTATCTGACATCGTGTAGTATGCTGGCCTAGTGACGGTGAATGCGGCTGAAGGCAACATCTTTTACTGGTTCTTTGAATCCCGCGTGAACCCATTGTCCCGTGATACTCCTTTGATCGTGTGGCTAAACGGCGGGCCCGGCGCGTCGTCCATGACGGGCCTGCTGACCGAAATGGGTCCATACCGCATGAACGCGGACGGGACAATGTCGAGTCATCCGCACAGCTGGACCAACCTTGGCCACATGCTGTTCTTCGACCAACCGGTGGGAACTGGGTACACAAGCGCCAAGAACGAATCTGGCTATGTGAATTCGCAACTCGAAATGGCCGAGCAATTGTACATTGCGCTCACGTCGTTTTACGACCTCCATCCAGAATACGCGATGAATCGAGTCGTGATCGCTGGCGAGTCGTATGCCGGCAAGTACGTGCCTCACATTGCCCATTACATCCACGAAATGAACCAAAAGAAGAGCGAGAAGAAAACATCGATCAACCTATGGGGTGTCGCGATCGGAAACGGCGAAATGAAGCCGTTGGTCCAAACCATGACTGTCGCCGACTACGCACTATCGCTGGGTCTCATCGATAAGGAACAGTTTGACCAGCACCGACAGTCCCTGGAGAAATGCGCGTCGCTCGTGCAAGAGGGAAAGCTCGTCGACGCGTTTGGAGTGTGCCAGCGCACTGAGGACGAGGTACATTTCTGGTGTTGGCGCGTTCTTACATTGCATGAGCAGATCTACCGCGAGGCTGGGAACCCGTTCATTTACGACATCCGCCAACAAGGCAATGCGTTCACTGCCCTCACGCTGACGCTATCCAAGTACTTCAACTTGCCCGAGACGCGCGAAGCTCTCAACATCCCGCCCAATACCCTCTGGACGTCCATCGACGGGTCGTCCTATGGCGACGACCCGACTGCGCCGGCCATCGCGCGCCATTTGCTCAATGACGAAATGGTGGACGTGTCGGACGAAATCTTGGAGACCCTCATGAACAAGTACCACGTGCTCTACTATGCCGGCAACATGGATGGGTCGAGCTGCAACCACCTGGGCATGTCTCGCGTGGTCGACCAGCTCAAGTGGAACGGCGCGGAAGAATTCCATCGAGCCACGCGGCACCCGTGGAAGGTGAATGGCGACTCCGTCGGTGGCCTTGCCAAGGAGGGCGGGAACGTCGCCGTCGTCGTCATCACGAACTCGGGGCACTTGGTTCCGACCGACCAGCCCGAGGCGTCGTTGGAAATGATGCGCCGGTTTCTCACACAGCGCTCGTTTGCGTTGCCATAGAGGTGTCCGTGTTGATGTGTGGAAATAGAACGACGAAAGACAGCGCCATGCTGCTCTCTTTTGGGATCGTGTGTGGGCCATTGTCAATTTTGTGGGGTCCAGGCGCAACCTTCCGTTCGTGGATCGGCCACGAAAACAAAAGTGCGAGTGGCATGTCGGAGAAGGAAGCGACGATTCATTGAATCGCATGGTCTGCTTCACAACACCACCGTCATCCCGTCATGGACACATTCATGTTAAAAGAACACGGCTGTGGACGGAATGCCGTCGTCGTCGCGGGTCGTGACGACCTGCATTGGCTCGAAAGCAAGCGTCGTCCCTGCAAGTCTTGTGTTGGGGGTGCTCTGGGTGTCGTTGAACTTTTGCCCTGGAAACAAAAACGTCGGTGGAATGGCATCTACCACAATGACATCGTCCGATGGAGATGTCGTGCGGTCGGAACCGACGCCATGCCAGTAAACCAACATGCCTGGCCCAAATCGATTCACGTACGCATGGGCTTGAGCTGTGTGTTGCGCCTCGTTCTCTGTCCCAGCCTCGTGAGCCATAGCTTTCGAGTCGATCCACTGCACGACGTGCCACGTGTCGTTGACCTTGACTTGGATCGGCACGACCAGGAGTGCGTCAGGAGTCTTCGCAAGCCCGCGCTCGCGAAGCATGTGCTCGTTCTCGAACGGAATTCCGAGCTGTGTGAGTTGGAGCACCATTAGATGTTCGTACTCGTCGCCTTCGCTTCGTCGAATACGGTCGCACAGTGGTGAGCAATGCACATCGTCTTCTACACACTCTCGCAACTCGCCCCGCAGTCGTGTACTCAAGGCTGGCAGGTGATTCCCGCTGTTGTCGTCGCTCATTACCACCGTAGACAGCAGAAGTTTGTATATCTTGCTCTTGTCCACTTCTTCTACGTGCTCGAGATATGTTCGGGCCACGATGCATGGCGCCATGCGCAGGCGCCGACTGATCGCGGCCAAACTTTGGTTCTGGGCGTGCATGTTTACCATCGTCTGAAAATGAGTGCCATTCGATCTTCTCAGCTGGCGCACATGATCCCGCGCAATGACTTGTTGCTTCTGCCGCGCCCTCGCCAGGTTATACTCGGCTTCCTCACAAGGTGTCATGTAGCTGTCGCGCCAAATCCGGATAATATTGTAAAAATATTGACGATTACGTTCTTCTAAGTATCGAATTTCATAAATACTTTTAGATATTTTATCCGGTGATCGCTACGCGGCGCTTGGCTCATCGTGGTGCAAACGTATCCTGCATTCCTCCGTGTTGACGAAACAGCATGATGCAGTCGGCGCGGACTCTCCGGCGCTGCGGCCAAGGCGGCGCCTTCTCTCGATGGATGAGCACCTCTGCAATTCCCTCCGCAAACCCCCTCGTCAACGTTGAACGCCGTGAAGGATTTGCGATTGTACGGTTGAATCGCCCGCCGGTGAACTCTCTCAACCTCGAGGTAAAGGTGGATTCGTGTTGATGGTTGTGACTTGACGCTATATGAATGCAGATGTTCCAAGCACTTGACAAGACAGTGGAAGAGCTGGAGAAGGACAAGACGATCAAGTACGTGGAATACATCCCTGACACCTCTGTTTGGGTGCTGAACAAATCCCTCCATCTCTAGGGGCATGATTCTTGCGTCGGCAAATCCGAAAATCTTCTCGGGAGGACTCGACATCACGGAATTGTACCAGCCCAAGGTACGTGTGTGTCGATCAAACGACTTTCCTGCTGTCTCCTCACTCTTAACGTTTAGAACCATCGTTTGCGTGAATTCTGGGGCTCGTTCCAGCGATTTTTCCTTCGCCTGTACATGTCACCGTTGGCGACCGTTGCTGCTGTGGAAGGACACAGTCCCGCGGGTGGATGCTTTCTTGCGATGTGCTGCGATGCACGCGTGATGGCGATCGGTAAACCGGTCATGGGCCTAAACGAGACAAAACTCGGGATTGCCGCGCCGTTCTGGATGAAGGACGTTATGCTCAACACGATCGGTCACCGCGAAACCGAGAAGATGCTTGGTCTTGGTTTGCAAGTCGATGCGATCAATGCCAAGCGCATTGGGCTGGTGGACGAAGCGGTCGAGTTGGACGAGGTGCTGCCGGTGGCCGAATCCATTCTGCAGCAATGGCTGGCAATCCCTGGTATGCGTGACGTCTGTCGAACCAGCCTCACCCACGTTCGTGCGTAGGCCATGCCAGGAAGGCCACCAAGCACCTCATGCGCCACGCCACTGCGGAACGCTTGCGCAGCGATCTAAAAGGAGACGTCGATAACTTTGCCGATTTCATCGAGACGGACCGAGTGCAGAACGCCCTCGGCGCTTATCTCGAATCCCTCAAGAAATCCAAAGAGTCCAAACAATCCAAGGCGTAAGCTACAGTGAAGGAATGACAGCCATACCCGACGAAGAGCCATGTGTAACCTGTAGCATTTGCTCGAAATTCTTCTCATGACGAAACCTCGTACGCCGTCAGTCCGAGTCACTTCCGTCCTTGATTGCAGAACTGCTCTGTCGTTGGAGCGTGACTAGTCCACGCAACGCCGTCCACTGAACGAGCCAGCACAGTGCTTACTCCATCTCGGGGTCAAGAAATTTAGCATATGCCTCGTTTCCACGGCCGATTCTCTCCTTGGATCGGCGCTGCCAAGATGGAAGTCCTCGTTCATTCCACAGTAAGGGTGATGGAAAGTCAATATTGATTGGCTAAAAAAGACAATATTTTAGCGAATCGACGTGAACGATTTCTTGAACAGCCAATGAAACGTTTGGGATTGGCGCTTTCAAGAAGTGTGTGCCGTTTCTGAATTTACGTTGCAGGATTGAGAGCATCAACATGGTCACGTCGATGCAGCTCATCATGGTCGATGCTGACGAGCATTTGACGGTGAACCCGGACGCAGTGCGATTCCTGAACGAAAGCTACGACGCTCTCACGGTCTTCTCCTTCCACGGTGCCAAGGTTTATTCGTCTACGTTGCGTATTCCGCCGCACTCATGTTCGTCACGCAGGACTCGGGCAAGTCAGCGCTACTTCGTGAACTCCTTCAATCCAGTGAACCTACCACGGGAGACCATGCTGACTCTCCAGCGCCGCATGCAGACATCCTTACTCCCCCTTCAGACTTCTCGTACGTGATCCGACAGGTGCTGCCATGTCATCGCAATGTAGTGGAGTGTGGATGTACTTTGAGGAAACAACGTATGCCCATGCGAAGTCCGTTATTTATCTTGACGTACAGAGCCACGGAGAGAACGAAGTATGGCCAACCACACCCCACGCGCACCCTCTCACACGTGCCTAGGGACTTGACGCTCTGTTGTTCGGCATTGCGTCGTCGTTGAGCAGGTTGCATCAGCTCATGCATGCCCCGATCCACGGCCATCCATAAAAATGCTTTTTGTGGGTAGCAACGTGATCAACTGCTCCACGGGGCACATTGACGACCACGTTTTCGAGTCGCTCTCGTTCTTGCAGACGGCAGTGGATGTTCTCGGCGAAAATCCCGGTACATCATCCTGCCATCATCTCTCCAGTTATACCACCTGTGGCACATGTAGAACTCTTGCCTGGTTTGACGTGGGTCGTGCGCGACTTGTCAACCAAGGATGTCAAGGCCGTCGTGGGCATGGCGGACGCGTCCGCCGACATGGATCAGTTGTACCTCCAGGCGGTGCTGAGTCCCAAGACTAGCCCATTCACGTCGAATCTGTCGTGGCAAATCCTCACGTCATTCTTCCCGAAGCGGACTGGATCCATCTTGCCGCTGTCCTCGAGTCCTGCGTATCCAAAGAAGGTTCATCGGCTTCGAAAGGCGTTGTTGGAATCGAGCCATGTCAAGGCAGTGCATGGGGTGGCCCTCCATCGGTCGCTCTTCAGTCACATCTTGGACTTGCTCTGCGGGGAAAGGACCAGCATCACATCCAAGGTTCTCGTCATTACGCTCCTTCCTACTGACTCACGGCATTTCTCATCTAAACTCGACTGCGTTGTCGATAGGTCGCTGGCCCGACGTGGGATGCCGTGCTGCAGTCGGACATGCTCAACTTGGTCGAGAAGGCGTTTGCTGTGTACAAGACCACCGTGGACTCGCACGTTTCTCATGGCCAGTCGCAACAACAACACGACGACTTGATCGAGGTCCATTTGCACTGGCACAACCCGCTGGAAAGCCGCTCACGCCCCATTAGTTTCCCTGTGACGAGACCGTCTTGAAGGATGTGCACGAGGCGGGCAAAGCCGCCGCGCAACCGTTGCTGGTCAAGGTTGCCGTGCTTGGAGGCGACTATGCGACGGTGGCCACTCGCCTCTTTCGAGACTTGACCGCTCACCATGTGGCGAAATGGATGGACGAGAACGACCGAGCGTCGACAGCCCAGTGCATTCAAGTGCTGCAAGCGCTGCACACGGACATCGAGCGCTTGATCAAGGCCAAGTTACAGCCACAGGATGAACCGCTACGTCTCGCCGACTTCAAGGTACCCTTGGAGTGTCCCACTCGCTTGTTCCAAACGACAATGGCCCTTCTGACGATGGGGGCAGGCGATCCTGCGGGCGTACCAGCACAGCGTGCAAAACATGGTCGTCGAGTACGCGTCCGAGGCACAGGGTCCGCAAAAGGTGCCGTTGAAGCTTGGTTTGTTCTTGGTTTAGTCATGGAAAGCCGTTGCAGATGCCGGTCCTGAGCACGTTCTACTCGACGCTGATGCCACGATTTGTCGAGTACTTGGCGCATTTGGGCGAGCTAACGATGAAGTCCCAGACAGCGTTGGCGGAGGTATCGAATTCGTCTGTCGGAGTGCGTGACAATTTGTCGGGGTAGCAAGCGGCAGCAACAGCAGCCACGGCCCTGGCGGATGCGGTGCGGGCCAAGACGGATGCGATGGAGGTGCTTGTGTCGTCTCGGTCGTTGGTTCTTGTAACATATTTGTCATGTAGTCGATCAAGGCGTCACAAAGGCAAGTGCAGGCCAAGATGGTGGCCAACATCCACTTGGAAACGGTGGGTGCGAGGCCGATTCGGTCAAACATAACCTCGGGACGGATCGATGTAGCGCATCAAGTCCGTCCTGGAAGACGCCATCGAGGACGTGATGGACCTCTACGACAAGGCAAAAATTCAGGGCAGTGCACTGGAAGCGCAGGCGTTCAATAACGTACGACAGCGCGGATGCTTTTTGAGAAGGATTTATGCGTCAAGATAGGTAGAGCGCACGGCCGAGCGCGTGCTCGAGGTGTCCCAGGCGAACAAAGACGAAGAAGGGGTGCTGGAAGGGTACTTAGTCAAGCAAGGCGGCGGCGGCGTGTTTGGTCGAAAGAACTGGAAGCAACGAGTGCGACTCTGCGCTGCATTCTCTGCCCCTCCAACGTGTCTTGGTAGTACTTTTTACTCCACAAGAACATTTTGTCGTATGCCAAGACCAAGGACGACTACGAGCGAGGGAAGATCCTCAAAGAGTTTTCGATCGTGGGAAGCGTGATCAAAGACTCGGAAGATGCCGGCGAGGGGTTCGAAGTGTGGCCGCCGTCCACGGGTCAAGCCGTGTACGATTACAAGCAAGGTGGGTTCAATCTCGACATGCATCGAGCTAGGATGGATGTGTATGGCTGTAGGACTGTTTGGGTCGGACCCGACGCTCGGGCGGCGCAAGGTCGACAGCGATAGCGAGCGCATCTTCTACTTGCGTGCGTCGACAATGGAAGTGAAGGACCAGTGGGTCGAGCGCCTCCGCCGAGCTGTCAACCAGGCGAGCCACACGCATTAGTCCATGTTTGAATTCAAGATATGAGCCACAGCTCTATTGATTGTGGTAGTGTGGGCTCGAAAACACCCGGTCGAAGTGCTCGACTTGAATCTCCAGCGTGTCCAACTATGTCAACATGAACAATGCTTTGGGAGTCGTCAGCTCACCTGTGTGTCGGCAACTTTAATCAAAAACCTACGGAGGAATGTACTCCATGTCAGCGTGATGATGCGCACGCACATGGGCGCGCCCACAACGTACTCGATGCGCTCGGGGTCCGTTTCATGGCGGTACTTGTCATATTCGGAACGAAGTCGGCGCCGCACAAATTCGGTCCGGTCTTTTGTAGGCATCCGTCCAGCAGTCTACGAGTGACCCACGTGCTTCGTGTGAGTAAGCGAGGACAACCAGCCCCTAGAGCCAAGGGCGTACTCGATATATCTTGCGGTAGAGTGACAGGGCGATCTGCATCGCTGTCACCTGCGTTGATGGTTGAACAGTGCTCAATACATCCCATTCTAGAGTCATTCAAAACAAATAATATTTTAAGTATACAATTGTGTCGCCCCGCCTTTGTGGCTCAGTGGTAGAGCATCTGTCTTGTAAACAGAAGGTCCCCGGTTCAATCCCGGGCGGAGGCACTTCTAGCGAGGCATCTCCTTTTTGTTTTTGCGTATGCTTAGACGAGGATGAAATTTTTTGTGAGGTGCAACACGATGGAAGGGCAGTGGGCATGGAGCACAATGACATGGCCTGATAGGTGTGCGTGGTTTGAACGATTGTACATTTGGACGCTGCGTTCTTCCGACTAGACTCGGACCAAGCATCATGTGGTGCCGTGCTTTGAACGACCTGATGTGACCGGAATTATCCGGATATTTCGGATTGCCTAGAGCGAGCCAACCAAACCAAGCCGACCACGCCGACGAGCATGCAAGGAAGCGCCGAGCTGTACGAGAAGCTGTTCCCACAGGAATATGTGTCCAAGTGCTTGGAGTCTGGCGTTCGGCCAGATGCGCGCAAGCTGCTTCAATCGCGCCACGTGACTATCAACTGGACACAATCTGGATCGTGCTTGGTCAAGTTGGGCGCGTCGTGCGCCTTGGCGAGTGTAAAGCTAGCTGTCGGCACACCGGCACTTGCAACCCCAGACCAAGGGGAAATCGGTGTGTATATGGATCGTACACTTCTGTGCAATATACAACGCTGATGGTCGTGGGATGTAGATTTGCAAGTGCTGTTTCCTGGTGTGTGTGCTAGCAAGTTCTCGACGCAGCGGACTACGGACGAAGCGCAGAGCTTAAGCAGCTACATCACTCGTGCGTTGCTCAGTTGCAAGTGCGTCGACCTAAGAGACTGCTCGATCGAGCGAGGCAAGTCCGCGTGGAAGGTCATGGTCGAAGTCACATTCCTCGACCACGACGGAAATGCGTTGGATACAGCTTTGCTTGCAGTCATGTCAGTGCTATCCAAGTTGACCCTGCCAGCGATTTCAATTTCCTCCGATTCCATCGTGTCCCTGGCGGAAGGTATCGTTCCACTGCAGCATTTGTCGTCCTCGTTCCCTTACTCTCTGCCAGATCAATCGGCCAAAGTCCTGTTCCCACTCCATGCAACCCTTTTCAGCACAACGTTTGGCGAGTATCAGTCCCATGTCATGGTCGATCCGACTGCCCGTGAAGAGGAAGTCCTCGAGTCGACGTTTTCCGTGCTCACCACGAAATCCGGCGACTTTGCGGGTGTATACAAATCGGGTGGCGTGCCTCTGGCGCCGGCGACACTGCAGGTATGCATCCAAGTGGCCAAGGAACGAACTGCCGCAATTGTTGCCCTCATGGAGCAATCATCCACCAGCGATTAACACAATGCCCATTTTTCCTCGGTCGTTCTGGCTGTGCTGTTCCTTGGACTGCGTTGGCTTGGGGCCAAAGCATGGGTCCTCTCCGTGACGACGATGGAACGGGCTACACCGTCGACGTTTTTTCACCTGGCAATGGTCGTGATTATCGAGGGGTTAGATCGACTACTCCTTGGCTTGGTGCAACGCGCCGACTTCGTCGACGGACGAGATCTGGACCCACTTCTTGTCAAGGGATTCCTTCCACAACGTGACTTTGTGGTCGCCACTCGACACGGCGAGGACATTGCCCGTGATGGACCAACTCACGCGCCACACGGGGGCTTCGAATGTGTGCAGAACTTCCTTCGTCCACCGCTCGTCGTTGACCTGCGTCCAGATCGCGACGGTGCGGTCTTCCGACGCGCTCGCAATCATGCTGATCGGCGCGCCAGTCGATGGCGCCCACGCGACATCGCGCACCCAATCGCCATGATGGGGAGTTGACTGCGCCAAGTCTTCCTTGACCCATTCCACCGCGCCGTCGGCGAGGAACCAGACTTTCACCGAGTTGTCGCAGGAACCTGTCACGACACGCTTGCCTTGACGTCCAGCGCTGTGAAACGGAGCCCAGCTCACGGCATTACACCCGAGCGTACTGTCTTGGAAAAAACTCGAGGTCCAGCCTTCCGCTGCAACAACAGAAACCATGGATGAACAAGGATCTCATAGATGCAGCGAACGCGGTTACCAGCAGTATGTGTCAAGATCGACACTTTGCCGTCGGCCGAGGCACATGCTAGAGTCAAACCGTATTCGTATGGAGCCCAAGCGATCGAGTTCACTGGGCAGCATCATGTGAGATCGATGTCGGCATCAACACGTGTACCTGATGCTTGGTGGAACGCATGTACGTGGACTTGAGACCATTTTCCCAACTGGGCTTCCTTGTAGATGATAACCTTGCCATCATACGAGCACGTTGCCAAGAGCGTTCCAAACTTGGGATGCGCCCAGCTCACTTGCCACACGGGACCTTCATGGCTGCAGGAACAATGTAACAAGTGCACATACAATCGCCTGGCGGTTGAAGAAACGTACCCAGTCAGCACTTGTTCGTTGGTATGTTGAGAGTCGTGGGTGACGTCGTAGACCTTGACGGTTCGGTCCGACGAACAAGTCGCGAGGCGCTTGCCGTAATAGTCGAGTTGGGCATCATGCTATGCACACATCAACATGAGACGGATAGATTCGTGGGAAACACATGCAGGGACGCACAATCATGTCGTCATGCTGCGTGTCGATGGTAACCACGGGCGTCGCCATGGTGGGGTTGAGCGGCGGGGATGGAGACTGACTTGCCACCCAAGAATCGATGAATTCTGGTAAGTGCGATTTCGAAAGGTATCTGGGCGAATCAGCGCACGATATTGCCAAGTTTTTCCTTATTTTCAACCAATGTGGGGTCGACACTCTCTCACACGTGGCATGGCACGATAGCATTCCAAATTCTTATGCCAATGCAGCCATCCTTGGATTCCGCAAGCCACGCATAGCTACGAAAAGGTCCACCAACTGGCTGCTCTGATGAGCGCACGCGTCCTTAGGTGGAGAGTGCGGTCGTTAGTCCTTCCATGCTGCTGGCTGGCGCACATTGAAATGCCGAATGGTCCAACGAACGTACACCATATCGTTCTTATGGCTGGCCATCACTTGAATGTTCCGACGAGTTCAGAGTCCTGCCGGCAGCATTAACTCGATCAAAAGAGAGTCCATGATTCCAGCAGTAAAGGCTGCATACATGTTATCCTTGAGGTCATTCAGACTTGGGATGAATGAAGACGTTCAACGAAAGCACAACGCCGACAGCAATAACGTTTGCTGCGAACGATCGCAATGATATTGGTCCCCACACAAGTCCAACGCGGAGGTCGCAAAGCTTTCAATTTTGGGTAGCTATCCAGCGTCGAATTGCGTTTTCCTCCACTGGAGAGCAGAACTAAATCCTCGCTGCCGATGACTGCAACATGAATGTAAAGTAAGCTCTATCGTGTAGTTCTTCTAAATGCATCAATCTGACTCGTCAAATTCGCTCTCTTCTTGCTCGTCGTCGGACGAGTCTGCTTTGTACACGACTTGTTTGGTGGCTCGACCATGTCGCTCTCGTGGCGCCACAGGCTCGTCCTTGTCATCCTCACCGTCACCACTGTCGCTGGATTCCTCGTCGCTCCAATTTGGTTTCTTTAGTTTCTTCTGTTTGGGCGAACCCGGAGTCTTTTCCGTCTTTCGTTTGGCAGCGGAACCTAAAAATAGTACAACAAATTGTGATACGACTGCTTTGGTTGCTTTCAATTCATACTTGCAGCGGGCTTCGATGACTTAGTTTTGGATGCGGCCGTTTTGACAGCTGGCACACTTTCCGCATCTGAAAAGTTGAACGTGTCGTCTTTGTCAGACTCAACGGAAACAGCCTTCTTGGCCAGCTTGGGCTTGACAGGCATTTCAGTGGTATTCGTTGCCGTTTTCGCGACTTTTGGTTTCGCCGCAACCTTTTTTGGTTTATCAGTTGCCGGTGTTTTCTTCGCCTTTGAGGCAGCTTTCTTCAACGAGCCCGCGAAAGCAAACACGTTATCGTCAGACTTGACTGAAACACCTGGCAGCACTTCTGTCTTCATGATCTGTGCAGCACTAGACGGCGCATTAAATACATCATCTTCGTCCGACTCGGCATTCTTCTCCGCCATGGCACGCCTCTTCAGTCGCTCGGACAACGACAGTACTTCTTCGTCTTCGCTCGATTCGGCAGCTACTGACACTGCAGGCTTTTTTTCAAACAACTTGAACAACTTGGTTGGTTTATCACTGCTGGCTGTCGCGTTCAATTCTTTTTTAGGTGCCTTGGATATTTTCTTCACCTTGGTTTGAGCTGGCGGACCTTCCACAGGATTTTTCCACACAGCAACTGGTGGTTTGACGACTGCGAGTTTCTCTATCTTGGGTTTTTCGTCGTCGTCCTTTTGTTTCTTCACTTTAGCTTTTGTCAGTTCAAAGTCTGACCCCGAGTCGTTGTCAGAATCAAGGTGAGTGCGTTTCTTCGCAGGGGGCTTCCGCTTTGCTTGACTCTTTCCACTTTTAGCTTTGCCAGCCTGTTTCATTGTCGACTCTTCTTGGGCCAGTCGTTTCATTTCTTCTTTACTTAACCCAAGTTCCAGCTCGTGCAAATCCTTGAGCCACATGGACTCCAAAGTAGTGGAAAACACCGTATCACGCTCTTGATTTTTTTCTTCGAGGTCGTCGCGCAAGGACTGAACACGTTCGGCAGTAAGGCTCCACATTGGCAATGACAAAAGGTAGTCATAGTCCCTTCGTGAGGCACATGAGTTGGGTTACAAGGTTTGGTTTCTTACTTTGCCGTGACTTCGGAGTGGCTATCATCGTCCTCTTCAGCGACAGGGTCATCTTCACCAGCAGCAGCGACGGTTGGCGCGGTGGACTTTCGCGGCATCGGGTCGAACTTTTTCATTCGAAGTTCTTCGAGCAAATCCTGCTTCTTCCGATTGTTGACGACGAGCTCGCCTTCGATAACAGCCAAAATAAAGCGCATCTTATTGGAGAGGATCATGATGTCGTGCTCCAATCGTTTCAAGATTGCGGCCTTGCGGTAACCGTAGTATTCAAGTCGTAGCCCATAAAAATCTTCAATGATATCGAGTGGTGAGCTGTAGTGCTTGATTTGACCGTTTGAATCGAACAAGTGCATGTTCGAGATGGCCAACGAGGACTCGAGTTTGAACTTTTTCATAATTCCTCCGGGAGCTTGTTGAATTGCAGCGAGAGATTCAGGCGACAAAACCACCGTGAATAGAACTGCTGTGTCTGTGTGATTTTCCTTGAAGTCTTTGATCGTGTTCGCATCAAGCAGCGTCTCGAGAAATTGCTTGTATGATTGGGTCCACGTCTTCACAGGCAACTCGGATATTACAATGGTGCTTTCGTCAACGATTTCGTATCGTCCTTGCACCAAAAAATTGTCACTCCCACCTTTTTGCACAATTTCGCCTTTGAACCCACGGTAGAACGGGACCATAGACTTCATTGGTTCGGCTTGAATGCGTCGACGTAGGTTCTCAATTATGTCCAAGGGATTGTAGTTGGGGATGCCACACGACCACCCCGTACCAATACCGTCACTACCGTTGACAAGGGACATCGGAATTGTCGGCATGTACCATTGCGGTTCAATTGATTGGCCTTCATCTTCCAAGTAGTTCAAGATTGGGTCGTCCAGTGGATGGAAGACGAGGCGCGTGACGGACTCCACGTTCGTAAAAACGTAACGAGCACTGGCTGCATCTTTGCCTCCCATTAGACGAGTCCCGAACTGGCCATTGGGGGACAACAAGTTGATGTTGTTGCTTCCAACGAAATTTTGTGCCATGCCAATGATTGTGCCGTGCAGGTTCACTTCGCCATGATGGTATGCCGAATGCTCTGAAATATAACCGGCCAGTTGCGCAACCTTAATCTCTTTCTAAACAAGCATATATCCATTGGTTAAGGTATGAGTATTGCAAAATGCAAACCTTGAGGTTGCGCTTGAAGCAAGAAAACAGCACTTTGCGTTGCGACGGCTTGAATCCGTCCACCATCGAAGGGATGGATCGAATATTGTCAGCCATGGAGAAAAGAATGAGCTCCTTGTTGACAAACCTAAGGCCACGCTGTATAAGATATGTTTCGATACGACCGACGTACTCGGTATATGGCATGTCTTGGACAGCGTAGTCAACATACGTGCCAGGCACAAATGCGCGCAACCAGTCTTTACGATCTTCCACGCGCTTCTTTGAAAATGCCATATCGATGGCGTCTCCATCTGCCTCTCCGTTGTAGGTGAACCCAATTTGATGTGTGTTCAGATCGCTAAAGTACTCCCTCGCATCTTCTGGCTTACTCGTCCCAAGCCCCTTGTAGTACTTGATGTACCATCCCTTTGTGTCGACCATACGATTGCGCCACGCTTCGTACTCGGGAATCGTGTAAAACACTTCGCTCCGATTGCCCTATCCATGGTTTAACATTTCACTGTCGAGTTGAGAGTACCTTAGTAGCTTTCACAATAGGGGTAATAAACTCTTGAACAAAGTTGTCCAGACCCATGAGCGACGGCCAAAAATGATGGATAAAGTTGATCACCAAGCCCTTGATGTGACTCCCGTCATGGTCTTGATCCGCCATGATCATCAAGTGCCCATATCGTAGCGACTTCGTCGATTCATATGTTGTGCCGTACTTGAGCCCCAGAATCTTGACAATGTTTTGGATTTCCTCGTTTTTGACTATCACGCTGTGCGATGCTTCGCGAACGTTGAGAAGCTTGCCCTTCAAGGGAAAGACACCATAATAATCGCGCCCAACAACCGCCAACCCACTCATTGCCAAAGCCTTAGCGGAATCCCCTTCGGTCAAAATCAGCGTGCAGTCTTTTCCCTTGGCACTCCCGGCAAAATTGGCGTCGTCCAACTTAGATATGCCCGTGAGTTTGACACTCTTCGTCCCGGAAGTCTTCTTTAGCGCGGCTGTTTGCTTGAGTTTGGCAAACGATAATATGTTTTCGACCAGTCCACTCTTCTCAACTACAAGGCATGTTACAGCATCACTTTCGGTATTCACGAGGCAATACCTGCTTTCATGAACTTATCACTGAGAGTATAGGTTGATCCAAAGGCCGGGGAACGAGTTGTTAATGTCTCTTTCGTCTATGAAACGTTCATTGTGAGACCTTCGACAATTTCCGAGCAGCAAATCATCTACCTGAGAGTCAAATGCCGGGTTGTCAATCAGCGCACTCACGTAAAGACATAAGTGGTTCTTGATGTAGGCAGGTTTCACGGCTTCACCCTTGTTGCGCTTCTTGACGATACCAACCAACTTGTTCGTGATTTGGTCTGCAATATAGTTGACGTGCTGACCACCCTTGGTCGTGCAAATGCCGTTTACGAAACTGACTTGTTGGAACCCATCATCGCTCAAGCCCAAGCCGACTTGCCACCGCTCGTCTGGCTGGCCATAGATGACGTCAGGAGTGCCGTACAGCGCCACGTATTGAGGGAACGATTTGACCGCGATCTTTTCTTCGTTGAGGTACACGTTCAAGGACTTATCTGTGATTCCCGCAATGTCGTACACGCGCTTTTTGAACAACGCTACAATGTCGTCGTCCAGCCCGGTCATTTGAAAGCGCTCAAAGTCGGGGGTGAAGGTTATGCACGTAAAGTCCTTCTTGGACCACGACGTGATTTTCGGCGCCCCTTTCACACTCATGTTGTTGGAAAACACTTGTCGGTATCTCTTGCCTTGCTCCCGACTCGCCGTTTCGACAATAAACTCCTTTGAAAAAATGTTGGCCAACTTGGCACCATACCCATTGCGACCCCCCGTTGTTTTTTTCTTCTTGTCATCGAAGTTACTGCCCGTGAGCAAGTGGCCAAAGATCAATTCCGGGACATACACGTTGTGCTCCTGGTGCATAACGACAGGAATACCATTCCCATTGTTCCAGACGCTGATTTCACCCTTTTCAGCATCGATCGTGACTTTCAACGTGTCCATGGTGCTGTCGCGCTGTTTGTTGTCGCATGCGTTCACAATGATTTCGTCAAAGATCTTGTACAAGCCGGGGCATATCGTGACTTTCTTTTGCACCATCTTGCTGTTCTCGTCGTCGAACACCCACAGAGATTGCTCGGCCGGTTCAATAGATCCGACTAAAGGTTACACAGTATGATGCGTGGATTTTCAACACTTTCGCGAGGTTTGGACCGTACCATACGTGTCCGGGCGAAGTAGAATGTGCTCCAATTGCGTCTTCTTTTGGTAGATCTGTTCGATAGTCAGCCCACCACCGTTGTTGGTGCCGTCGGCTTTCGTCAAGGCCTACGGGGAGCTCGTGATCATGGACAGGCGCGGCGGACGGACGAGCACGTACCTCCATTGCTCCCACAGCTCTGGCTTCAATTTTCAAATGGCGCCTCCAAATTTGAATCCACTGGCGATTCCAATTGGCTTTTCCAAATCATGGCTACGGATAATTCCGTATCCGGAATATTTCCCGAGCCATGCCACTGTGATTGGAGTTTGGAAACTGGAGGTGTGAATATGACATGTCATCAACGTAAAATAGCAAAACATAAATGCGCACGCACGCTCTCGCAGCATGCGCATTGAGCCTTCGGCAGCGCTAGACGCGCTCCAGATGTTCGACCTTGTGCATCAAGCTACAAAGCGCGTTCATGAACCAATGGGCATGTTCCATTGCTACATGCTTCATGTGGTATGGCAGGATGTAGCTGGCATCACTGCAACAGAGGATTTCGTCCACTCGCGGGCTCACGCAGTGGCGCTGACGGCCTCACACAAATTTGGAATCGGGATGTACGTAGCCGCGCTTCACATGCAAATCCCAGCCTCGTCGAACAACGAATGCGACGACGACAGCAAATGGAAAGAGAAGCATGTCGAGTGCGGTATTTTTACGAGGGGACATGCCACCACTCAGTACCCCAAGTAGTGCGATGCCGAAGTCCCCACAGTACATGTTGTACACGCCATTCTTGAGGTCCTTGAGAATGGACGTTGCGACTTCTTCGGGTTGGAACAGCTTCTCCGTTGCTTCCAAGGCTTTGCACTCAGCAGGTTTGGTCAAGTTCTCGAATTCAAACCCCACGGATCCATGCTCCCAGGGAACGCAATATGAATTGAAATTCCCGACGAGGACAGCTCGTTGCGCAAGCAGTCGGCATACCCACGTACAGCGTATTTGGTTGGCGAATAGGCAGAAAGGCCGATGTAACTGGTCAAAGCTGCTGCCGACGTAATGAAGCAAATGCACCCTTTGCGGCGTTCGAGCATTGATGGCAGCACAGCGTTGACAGTATTGATAGTGCCGAAGAAGTTGAGCTCCATCGTTTCGCGAAAAATCTCGATCGGGTTCTCCTTCACATACCCAACGAGGCTTTTGCCCGCATTTGGGAACAGAATGTCAATGGGACCAACGACCTCATGAGCACGGGCTATTGCGCTTTCAATAGCATCGACGTCGGTGACGTCAGCGACTTGGTAGAAAATATGACCATGGTATGGAGAGTTCAACGTGGCCACTTCGTCCACGACTCTTTGCAAGACCTCGGCACGACGGGCCACAATAGTTACGTCGGCACCGGACGCAACGAGCTGGAGCGCGATGGCACGTCCTAGGCCTTCGCTTCCACCGGTCACTAAAACATGCTTGCCGCGGAAGTCGAGTGGACGTCGAGGGGGGACCGCGGATATGATGGTCAATGCGACCGTGGCTCCGAGCGGTACCGCCAAGACGATGAAGGCTACGAGGTACGCGGTGTCCGCCGACATTTCCATAGACGTGAAATCTGCCAGTAGTTTGACCAGTTTCAATTGTGTTGATTGACCCTTGAAATTTGGGCAATACTCCTACTTGTTATTACTAGTAATCCTAGCCAAATTGTTAGTAATTTAACCTTGCCGACAGTTGCACGTTATATTCAAAGTACTACAGTATTAGTATGTTGTACTAGTCATCATCATTGGCACCAATACTTTACGACCCAAGGAGAACGTTTTGTGGTCAAATCTCCTGCCCGAAATTCGGCTGATCTGGACAGTATCCACCCGGGGCACGCTCTATTTCGTCGAAAACGTGGTACAAGAATATTCACAGAAGTGGATTTGAAGGAACTCCCGTCGGGATGAGCACCCAAGCAGCAAGTCTTTCATTAAAGTTTGCTATTTTCTCTTTCGTGCATATTGGTGGCATATTCCTTTTCTGCAATGTTATTGTGACCAGCCGCTCAGTATTTCCGAGTTAATTCCGCTCGTGAGTACAAAAACAACATTTTGGCCCTCGTGTCAGCACTACAGTACCTCATCATATTCGCCGCTCCATGAACAATAGGCAGATTTCGCAAACCTTAGTCTTGTTTTATCCGCATCCTATCCTTCAATATCCAATAAGTTTGCAACCAACCCGTGAAATTTTGTTGCAGCGGCCGCAAACTTGGTCGAATTTGTGGCTGGCTGTTTCCGCATATCACAGGGCTATTGACCAAACCATTCGAGGATGTCAAGCGACCTTGGAGTCGACAACGCTGACACACAAGCGCACAAATGGTGGAGCAACTCATAGAACTTGAGTTGCTCACACAAGTCAACAACGATCTTCCATTTAAGCAAGTAAAGATCACCACCAAAGCATGGGACGCTCTGGCAGCGAAACTGCTGGAATGCCAGGTATTGGCCGCGCGTCGTTGGATGGCAAGAAGGCTGCGAACAGGTTCTACTAGCTCCTGCGTGCACATCGGCGATTCCAAAACAGCTCGAAGTATATGTCTGGAGTTGAGCAAGACGAGACAGGAAAGATTGTTCTTTTGGACGAGCCAGTTCAGCTGTTCGACGAGGTCACCGACCAACGCAACGCCGACCGAGTTGCCGTCAATGCCAAGGCAATGGAAAAGGAGGCTGCAGCTTCGTTTATCCGAGAACAAGCAATGAAGAGCGGGAGGGTCAAGTCCGTGGACACCGAC